GAGAGAGAGAGAGAGAGAGAGAGAGAGAGAGAGAGAGAGAGAGAGAGAGAGAGAGAGAGAGAGAGAGAGAGAGAGATAAGTGTTAAACTCTTCCTGCCCTTCTTTCTCTATCTCACACACACACACTCACACTCACAGGCACACACACACGTACACACACACATACACACACACACGCACACACACACACTCATTAAATTACACTTACAATCTAACGTATATCCCATTTCCTACCGTCCCCAGTATGGCCTGAAGAAGAAAGAGGAGATCGTGGAGGAGGAGGTGGACCCCATGTCTGAGGGCCGAGTCGGACGCAAAAAGAAAACCCCCGCCGAGCTGGCCGCTGAGGCGAACAAGGAGGACTCGGACGACGAGGAATTCGCAAGTAAATTCTCCTCTCTCTGCTGCTGTATGAACTTTGTATGATAGCTCTAGAGGTTTACGGTTCGATTCCGGTGGGGGGATGAGAAGGTTCGCCCGCGTCCGATACTTTATCTGTTGGCAGTACATTTTTTTATGTTGCAGCGTATTCAGATTATGTTGAGATTGAAAACGTATTTTTCAGGGAATTGTACGATGGGTTTGATCCTTGGTAGAGATCATTCTGTTACTATTATGTATCTTTTTGATTGATAGGACGGGATGGTCAGTGATGATCACAGAGATAGAGAGGAATAAGTGCGTAGTTGGGATAGGGACAGAAGTGGAATGCAAGAGACAACCCATTCCTTTTTTTTCTGTATTCGAATTCGTCTCTTGCGCAGAGTTCCATGCCTAGAATAGTGTTTGCCTTGAAGTTTTTATTAAACGTATTCACAAAACGTATTTTTCAGGGAATTGTACGATGGGTTTGATCCTTGGTAGAGATCATTCTGTTACTATTATGTATCTTTTTGATTGATAGGACGGGATGGTCAGTGATGATCACAGAGATAGAGAGGAATAAGTGCGTAGTTGGGATAGGGACAGAAGTGGAATGCAAGAGACAACCCATTCCTTTTTTTCTGTATTCGAATTCGTCTCTTGCGCAGAGTTCCATGCCTAGAATAGTGTTTGCCTTGAAGTTTTTATTAAACGTATTCACAAAGCTAAAAATATACGTAATTTGTTCAGGAATATACATATACTGCAACCCGAATCTGCAGAGTAATTTTGCTAGTGGATTGGTTTATAAACATGGCGGGCTTATTTTCAGCGAGCGAAAAGGCGGGGGAAGGTGGGGGGTAAGAAAGGTGAGATTGGGGGGAGGGGGGCTCTAGTTACAGGGCTTTAGACTTAGGTTTCCATGCTACATCTCTATGCACTGTTTTGAAGTAGCGGATATTGAAGGTACTTACTCAGATCTCTCATTTTTTTTCCTTAAAAAAACCCAAAACATTTTGGTGAAAATTGTGTTCCTTTTTTTCTACATTTTTAAAATCACGCCATTGCTGAGAGATTTGACTGAGACACTAATGGTGATGCCTTTTCCTTTAATGTCTCTCCTTAAGTTTTTTACCAATGATCTCTTTGTTATCTTGTCCTCATCTCGTTATTTGTACATTTCACTATAGCATTCCATACCTCACTTCATTCTATGTTTAATTGATTAATGATTTATATACATCATCAAGTAAATTCACCTAATTATCCTGTTTATGATTATTTTTATGACACCTCAACCAAAGCCAATGCTCTTTGAATCATGTTTTTGGTAGATTAAGTCGCTCATGATGAGAACTTGCTCGTGCGATATTTCTTTGCACGTTTAATGAAATTGTTTGGAAAACCCGTACTTATACTTTCAAAGCTGAATGTCTAACCGCAAGCACTAACTTGTGTTTTGATTTGCCCCCACTTACTTCCCACTTTGAATGGGTTACTTGAATATGTCTTCCTTTTTAGCGCACTAAAATGTCAACGATTTTCTTCTTTTCTGCACCGTGCATGATGAGCTTGGAAGCTAATCAGTGTCATTTACAATAGTGAGACGTATTGGTAATGTGTATGTGTATACTTTCGCGCGCTGGTATGTGTGTGTGTGTGTGTGTGTGTGTGTGTGTGTGTGTGTGT